GATACTTTTTCAAAAATTTTGAATTTTACATTTTCCGCGAATACCTTCTCAATTGTCATGCTCCCCTGATACTTTTTCAAAAATTTTGAATTTTAAAATTTTTGTGAATACCTTCTCAATTGTCATGCTCCCCTGATACTTTTTCAAAAATTTTGAGTTTTCAAATATCCGTGAATACCTTCGCGATTTTCATGCTCCCCTGATACATTTTCAAAAATTTTGAATTTTCCATTTTCCGCGAATACCTCCTCAATTATCATGCTCCCCTGATACTTTTTTTTAAATTTTGAATTTTTCAATTTCAGTGAATACCAATTTCATTGCGTGTCGCGCCCTCCCGCCCTTGGGGTGCAGTACTACGATGCCGCTGGGGTAACTCCAACCCCTAGAACTGAGCCTCTACTTCAATCAATCCTCTTTGTGATAGAGGCTCACTATAGCTGTTGACAAACTTCAGGCGTATCCTCCACTCAATCGTCAATACTCCACATAAACAAATATGGCCGGAACGTCAAATTGGTTATAAACATAACAGAAATTCGTCATGATTTTGCATGGATGCGAGTGGATAAAACATCAATCACTCACTGAGGGGTCCTGCTCCAATACTTGCAGCTGATTCAGGTACAAGTGATTTTTTTCATTCATTTGAATTCGTGTGAACGAGTTCGGAGCACTGATGAATCACCTTTGTTGTGCTCTCGTGTATAATATTTTATCCAAGAGAAACTTTTGTGTATTGCATTTTCATTCTATAAATCGCAATCTTTACAAAATAATTGGAAGACAATTAAAATTCCTTGAGGAATGAATTATAAACGGATTGTAATTAATAATTGATATATATTTCTTTTAAGTACAGATTTGTTTATCCGCAAAGTGTCACATCACTTTTTTCGCTCAATATTAACATTCAAATAGTACACAATTCAACCAGTAAATCGATTTTATTATTCTGCGGTTGTCCATCCATTTTCAACATGAAAATTGTCTCAATTTTAAATTGCTAAGTGATTCCCTCACTTGGATTCGTCACCACTTCTAGTTGTAGGCAGCTATTCTCTGTAGAATTAGATAGTACTCGAATACATATCATTCTCTCGTAGAAAAGAAGATTGGGAACTTCGTGATCTCCACTGTTGCAAAATTCGATGGAAGTTGGTAACAGACATAGGCAGTGTGTCGATTGAGGAAATTATGAATGTCTAATTAAAAAAAAAATGCATATCGTTCGCATAAACAGCTGAATGATTTTAGTGAATGAAGAGCGACGAAGAATATTGCAGCAGTGTGAGAGCCTGTAATGATTGTTATCATATTTATTTGCTTTCGTATTTTTTATTCATATATTGATTTTTTTGTATTGTGAGATATTCCAATGCTGGGGCATATTTTATTCTTGGCATTTATCATTCATCCAAAATCACCTATTTACATACAAAACTTCTTATTAATGGAAACGAAAAAAGAACAATTTAAAAAAAAAAACATGAAACACATTAATTAAGGCTCCAGCAGGCTAGCATAGGCTACACTCTACAATGTACAATGCATTTATGTACTTCATGATTCAATTTGTTGTATTCACTCATTTAGGTATTTTAAAGTTCTCTTTTACTCTTTATTCTACGTTTTGCATTTTCGAGGGGTCTGGCTGTGCAATGTGTGGCGAGCGAATAGCACCAAAAAGTTTATTAACTTTCTGCTTGAAAACAGTATAGAAATGAAATATCTCTGAATGAAAATTCGTATCAACTTTTCATCCCCCTTCACGCGAAAATTGTTTCGTCTTCGTTTTCATATAAAACATTACGTTTACTGAAAATTTATTATATAAATGCAATAAGAGTTTCCAAAAAACGTTCAGTTCACATTCACTCGATGTTGTGAGTAATAAAAATATATCATGAGAAATTATTGAATTGCGCAATTAATTTTCGAATCGTTCAACGATATCACCACGTAAAAAACATTTTCATTGTGCTAACTACGAAGGGAATTGTTTATAATTCATTGTGCAGCCTGATTATCCGAAATTTCGTAAATGCCATCTCTGAATACTCCACGGTTTCGTTGACGAATGAGACAAAATAAATTATCGTCAACTCCAATAGAATGCTTTTATTTTCTCATTTTATGCGGACTGTTACAACTAGCCCACGTACACATCACACCTCCAGACTGATTCATGATTCAATTGTGATGATTTTTAATTTATTCATCCCTCATAGTTCAATTCTCTTATTCAATTAATATAAAAAAATCTATCTTCTATTGACTCTTAAGCTCTTTCCCAATACTGTACGAGACAATTTTGTTCCAGTCCATTTTCGTTCGCATAACAGGAAGTTGTCTTCGGAGTGCCTTGAATGTCGTATCAGACATTGTCTGATAATTCTCTGATATTGCCGTTTGATAATCATTCTCAGATTCCTCGACAATACGTATCAGCTCCTTGGCTGTTTGCTTTTCACTTGTTATTGGTAGGCTCTCTTTAATCTCTTTACTGCTTACCAATTGTACATTACCATCTTCATAATAATGCACTTGAACTTTGAGACTACCCCGTAACTCAGCATTACTCGAACTTGTGCTAAATGACACTGTCCATACTGAACGCCAACGACCATTCCAGAAGTTTTTCGGCTGGAATTGATGATCTTCTATGCACGCAGTCAATGTTATGTTCCCTGGAAAAATTCGGAAAAAATTTTCCAACTCTGAGTCTAGATTTATTAGAAAGTCAAGGGAAAAAATTATTGCATCAACGATTAACTTTTACCATAAAAAAAATATACCCTGATAAAAATGAATTGATTTTTCTCAATGATTTACTGGATTGTAAAACGGAAATGACCCCCTACCTCCTTGGCTTTTTCCAAAGACTGAACAAACACCGTGTCTGTAGTGGCTTTGAGTATAACTTATCATTTCCTCCTGAAGAGCTGATCTCCATGGCTCAGCCGTTGGATCAGGCTCATAGGGTTCATAATCTGTAGCCTCTTTCCTCAGATGATCGTACTTGAAACTCTGCTTACTGCGAGCATCATAAAACCTCTGACTACCCAGATCATTGTGCTCGGTTATTAGCGCTGGGTAATCACTACCCTCAATCTGCTTGAGAAAACCAACATGAAATGTCATTGATGTGTTGCTAGAGTACGAGATATAGGTTATCTCGTGGGATGACTCATTTGCCAGGAGAGCATTCGTCACGGAATAGAGAAAAAAAAAAATCAAACCCACCCAGTCATGATCGTCATTGGAAATTAGCCGAATGAATTTATTTCTTTCAAGTCATACAACAAGACGAAAAATGGGTGAAAGCTAATCCGTGACAGCGTGAAGATTAATGAGTTGTAAACCGTCAGTGACGACCGTATACGTATTTGCTGTGCTCCAATTACACTGGCAGATACGTCAGTACGAGAGCAATGGAATTTCCGTGAAAAATATAAAACCGAGTGGAATAAAAAATTTTCATAATTTCACCAACTGTAGAGTAATGAATTTAATTTCAGATTAATGAAGCTATGAATTATCAGAAATAACTTTCACAATCAGCTTTGCAATCTAACAGTAGTAGTTTGAAGACATACCTTAACAGGCGTGAGCTGGTCCTTATTGTATTGAGCAAATGCACCTGATGCACCCTCTTTTAATAAGTTGTCGTTGTTTAATAAAAATCTCACATCGTTGAAAACCTCATTGAATTCACCCGGTGGTGAATGAAGTATAAAATCCGATACAACACGTAATTTCTCCTGATCGGAGATCGTGACAAACTCATCGTCCGCCATCTTAACTATCCAACGAACTGGTGCAGCGCGCACTCTCTATGCTCGGTACCACGTCTGGTAACCGTACCGTATACTATTCCATTTCATTCTATACTATACACAACTATACATACAAATCCAACTCAACTCGCACAATGTGTCAAATCCGTCAAATTCAAATCGGCGGCTCATGTACCGCACATTTATCTTCCAGTATTTGCAATAAAAAATGTTAAAAACCGCTAAATAATGCAATAATATGATATATTTTTTGAGATTGAATTTTTTCAGGAGATAATTTTAAATGTATTTGGAAATTAATAGGTAGACTTTTTCGTCTGAAATGTTTATGTTTAATGTAATAAATTTTGGTTTGTTAATATTTTTAGAAAAAAAGTGCCAAATCATGGCAGATGATCCGAATAGAGATATTGTACCTGTTAAAGAAGGATCTTGCATAGAGACTTGTCGCAGTACTTGGGGTAATTAATTGATTTTTTCAATTTGTGGAAGAATTTTCAAATGGTGAAATAATATTCGAGGAGATGTAAAATTATTGGCAGGATTGATGGCGAATCCGCGAGAGCGACATGCAGTCTGTAAACTTGATCGTTATGAATTAGAAGATAGATATTTACGTCTGCTCGACGAGGCCCAAGCCCTGAAGAAGTTATCAAATGCCCAAGAGGACAAGCTGAAATGTTTAACAACACGATTAATGAGAATTTCTGCATCATCGCGTCCATGTATCGCAGCAGCTCTGACCATTGACAGCGATAGAATGAGAATTGAAGAACTGGAACGCGAGAATTCAAAGCTGAAGGACAGAATAATTGTATTGAAAACTCAAATTGTCAGTCATAAAGGCTTGAAGAGATCACCACCCCGAAGATGTGTTCATTGCAACTTGTCAAGACCCACGACATGTCGCAGTGAAGGCGCGCGTACGAAAATATCCACTAGCACGAATTATGGAGGCGGAAAAAATGATTTTCAACATCAAAATGACGTGCGCATTGACAAGTTGCATCAGCAGAGGCAGGAGATGATATCGAGAATATCAAAGTTGGAGGATCAACTCATGAATTGTCAAACTGAACTTCAGAAGACGAAAGTCAATGAGAATATCGAATACATCCGAATGTTGAGACAGATAAAACAGCAGGAGGAGCAGTTGGCCTCCAAGCACTCTATAAATACATCTTTAGATGAGGAAGTTCGGATTTTGAAACAACAACTTGATGAAATATCCAGGTATTAAATATAAATTATTTTATATTTAATAATTATGACGTCAGTAAAGTTTGTTTAATGGAAATATTTTTTGTTCCAGTAAAAATGGAAAAATCTCAGCTGCTCTTCAAGCCGAAAAAAATCGAATGACGGAATTCGACGAGACATTATCAAAAAGCATGAGTTCTCAGTTGGCTCTGCGTGAGAAAGACGAGCAAATAAATGATCTGATGAATGAAATAAAAATCCTCCAGCAGAATAATAATGAATTGATATCTCTCAGTACGAAAAATAGTGAAGTCGAACTGGAGAACATGGAGTTGAGAAAGAAAATCTCGGAGCAGCAGGTGGATAATCACAATTTGAGGAGTGCTTTTAAAAACGAGCAGACGAATATCACAGCTCTTCAAGCTGTCAACACCCAACTCTCGAGAAAATTGCATGAACTGCAGAAAGAAATGGACACTATGACCATTCAATTGAAAGTAACTATCATCCCATTTAATTTCTCCTCAAACAATCAAATCCTTCGTAAATATAAAATTAATTACGAAAAATAATTTCTTTCCAGTCATTTCAAAATAAAACCGAAAAGCCAGAGAAATCCGACGAGCGAAAACTAGTGCCAAAATTCGATAAAACCACCATCACCAGTCCAAGAAATCGTCGAGGATCTCCCGATGAAAGTAATTATTCCACAAAAAATCATGAGAAAAAAGTAGAGACAGCTGTGCAAACGGAGAGCACAGAAATCCCAGCTGAAAAATTTTGTTCAACAGAGCGACTCAATGCCCAAGAAGAAGTTAAAAAATCTCCTTTAAAAAATCAGGAAGAACAAGTGGAAACAATGGTTGGTGCTAATCTATCGAGAGATGAAATTCTCAAGCTCCTGGATCAGGCGCAGATAAATGTACCTTTAGAGAGCCACAATGCTGCCAAAATGCGTCAATTCGAGACATTCAGTCCTGTGCACAGACAAAGGCAAGTAGTCGCACTAGAGACACTTTTATTCGGCGACAGTGGTTACTCTTGATCCCAAATGTACGTCCCGCTAGTTTAATTGAATTTGTATTACTATATAATAATGTTCTCATTCTCATAATTCGAAGCTATTTCTACAATAATAATGCTTCACGAGAAGTAAAATATTGTTCTCCTTCTTTCTCCCTTTCCCAAGACAATCCTGCTCCAGCGGTGAATCCCTCGCTACGGAAACCGACTGCGATCCTCACCGTCTCATTCAGAATTTATGCGGTATTTTGAAAGGATACAATAATGTTATCGTTGCTAAAATTCAAGATAAACATTCAGACACTGTCGATCGAAATAACAATGCAAATATTCAAACATCGACTCCTAAAAAAAGATATAAGGCAAGTTGCGCTTGTAACGACGATGTCAGTCCGACCGAGTCATGTGGAAATTGTTCGGGGGATGATAAATGTCCGTGTGATAACACCAATCGTTCTGTCACGTCTGATATCGATGATATTCGTATGTGTCTTGAAAAAACTATAGATACTATGGAAAAACAGAGGTGAGTATTATTTTTTTCAATCCATCGGAGACAGGCAACTGCAATTTTTCGATTAAATTTAGAGAGAAAATCGAAGTGAGACGTTACGAAGTGCTGCCCAAACCACAGAATAGAATAAATTGTCGACAAAGTTTTTCACCGGATGAATATTCTCGTTATAATCTAGCAGATAAGAGGAATTCATTCCATCCCATGCTTGTCACTAATCAGCAAGGATTAGTTGAGATTCATATTTCATCGCTTCAACTCTCGTCTTTCGTCAGTAATTTCGATATGTTTAATTGAGTTCCTTTAATTATTCGAATCACTCAATAATCGCTAACCTTATTCGACTCATTAAACTAGGCGATAGACCATCTCTTTGGAGACCTCAACGTGAGCCCTTCGCTCTTCATAGGTTGCGATTTGTGCGGTCAGGGATCTATTTTTTCACCCACCCAAACCTACCCCAACCTAATATTCAACTCCTCATGCGCCTACAGAGTTCCCAGTATTTTAAACTTTTTGGATTGTCTACATCGAGACTTCATTCACTTCCAAGTGCACATAGTTCAACCGGGAGGCACACCCTGCCTCATTGCCCATGGAAAAATGAGCGTCAAAGATATTCTAGATTATCCCCAGAATAAACTCCACTACATTGTTAATATGGAATGCAGCGTGCCCTGTTACCGCACTGCGAACTTCGGTCAGATTGTTTTCTGGATAAGATTGAGCTGCGATGTCAATCGTGTGAGGATGTTCAAGCAGCAGAGAAAAAAACTTGAGACCAGTACAAATTCTGAGATGAGACGAGCAGAAAACGAATCAAAACCACGATCCCGTCGTTTCTCTCAACAAGAATTCAAATCTCCTGAATCTTCTCTCGACACTCTTCACACGATTCACGATTCTCGGAGAAGAGACACCCATTTCGAATCCATAACCAAATCCCATCAATATCAATCTTCAACCACTTCCACTAGCGAGAGAATAGACCCCAACGTCGGGTATGAGGAAAGCAGGAGTGATAATTTTCAGAGTCGTACGGACTCCTGGAGGGCGTGGAGTTCGGGGGATTATTCCGGAAGAAGAAAGGAAATCGGGGAAGCCGTTCAGTTACAGCAGCAGATCAACAGCGGTTTTCCCGATACCGATAATCTTTTCGATGACACAAATACAGTTATCACGGATGATTGGGGGAGATACAAGAGAAAGTCATTAAACAGTCAGGCAAGGATTTTTGAATCGTTAATAGTAGTTGATACTATTTTGACAATTAATAGCGTTTGCTCCAGCAGATGACTGAGACTGGTGACGCTGTGGTCATTAGGATAGAACGGCTGAGTCTCTTCCCGAGGTGCACTTTGTTGAACGATCGAGATGTCAAGCAACTTTATGTGGAATTTTCATTCCTGGGAAATCATGGCCCGGATTTGGAAACCGTGTCGGTGCCAATACCTAGGAGTTCACCGTATCATCTGTATTTCAATTATATGAAGAGTGAGATATTCTCATTGTTAGTCGCTCATAAAAAATTTAATAGGAAACATTCAATATATAATTATATAGGATATAAAATAATGTGATTGTATTTTAATTAAATAATTCGGCGTTATCTCAAACTCCAGAATTCGACATCGACACGAAAATTCATTCTGATCAGCGGAAGAAATTAGAAGAAATGCTGTCTGACGAGGTGAGTTCGACAGTGAAATTCACGATTGTTAATGAACCGTTGATGGAAGAAATGGAGACTAAGGACTGCGTCGAAGTTGGGTGAGTCAAAAATGAATTTAATTAATTTTATTTGATCCTGTAAATTAATTCAATTTTTGAGGGCAGTCATGCATATTTGAACTTGAAAGAGCACGTGTTAAATGGAGGAAGTCATGACATCTCTCTTAAGGTTTCCAACATCGAGGCGAGTGACACTATAGGATCATTAAAGGTGCAGCTCATATTCTCTGTCATTGATGCAATTTCATATTTTATAATTAATTAATATTTTTTATACAATAGATCACAGTGTTGGGAGCAGATGCCATTCGCAAATGTATTACGCAAGATTGAGCTGCTTGCGTCGAAAATATTTTTATATCTCCATGTGAAATATATTATTTCGATAATATTATCTTTTTATTTCCGTCTTCCTCTTCTTGGTCTTTGGTCTCGGTATTACTCTTCGGAATACATCGTAATGAGCACTTGTCACTGCCTGCATGTCTCGACAATTTCGCGGCTCCTTAATCACCGACCAAACTCCTTCGATTGTATCAACTCCTTGGCAAATTCTGCACGCACCTGTTTACACGCTCTTATTACAAGAATAAAATTTTTTAAACCATCAAGAGGTGAAGTAAATGGATCAAATAATTGTACCAACAAATGTAGCTAATGATTTCAGGTAGATGTTCGTTGCAACAAGAGCGAAAGGAGCGCCTCGTTTGAACGGAATGTGTCCAGTGACATTCCATGTAGTATTCAAAATGCCATTATGAGTTTTCAGGGAGGCATTCATTTTTTCCAATGCAACAACCAGAGTATGATTCGTAATCGTAATTATTAATTCTACTCCCGCTTGAGTGGTCGTCCACGATCCCGAAACTTTACAGGGTAAACCTGAAATAATTTTATAAATTTCACAGTGCATTAAGAAATCACGCGAATTGAAATATGTACCTTCTCTCGGATTATTCCCGGTATGATCATTTTTTAAATCTTCTAGTTCGTCAATGATTTCGTTCAAAATCTCATTAGCCACTTGTTTGGTTTCTAATCCAGTGGAATTCACTGAAGATTCTGCCGAGACTTCCCCGGAACGACCAGAGATCGTTGGAGGATTATACTTTGTCCCGTTTATCTCCTCTCGATCTTTTATAACTTCCGGATTGACTTCCGTTTTCAATGCTGTACAGTTTGAAGTTAAATTTTCGGTATTTGCTTCGTGTTTTAGGAGACGAAGGGCTCGAGTTGTGACGGGAAATCCTTTCCGTCTCTCTTCGACGTGAGGAAAATAATTTTGGTGCCTCCTGGAGGGATCCAGAGAAATTCGAGGTGGATTATAATCCGGGAGGTACATCAGAGAATTTTCATCGATATCGGGTAATTGTGATCCCCGTGTCCACAAGGGGTTTGAATACGGGTACATGTACTCGTTGAATTTTAAATTCTTATCGAAATTATCGGTATCGGTATGCGCATAGGCTGAGATTTTTTTATTGTATTTTTTACTCGGTTTATTTGGCACTTGTCGGGATATTCTCACACGCAATGGCTCTGGATAGAACGGATCAAATATTGGCAACGGGTGTCTCATGGGATTCATAAGACTCACTCGAGTGATTGTGCAATCCATGTCATTACGTTTTACTTGAATTTTTCTTGACGCAAAATCATATTTCCGCCGTGTTTCATCGAAATTCCCTGAAACCTATTCACTGTGTATTTAACAATATTTTGAATGAATCCAGGTATTGGGTATCCAAGTACATCTACTTGGATATCCCGACATCGAATCGTACGGAGAGAAATATTCAATGAAAATTTCGAAATTTTTCTCGGTAATCTTTAATTTTTACAGAAATATTTCTCTCCGTGTGGTTTCACCCTGCACCTTCCGCTCCAGTCGACGTCGTCGATTATTTCTGTGATGATGACTATGATGATGATGTCGTCGTCGACCCCCGGATCGGTGTCTATGTTTCTTGCGTTTTCGCTTTTTGTGACGAGCACCCTGATGATCAGCCCTTTTCGTACTTCGCTTCTCCACCGAGGGCTTGATCTCCGTGAGCTTTTTCAGTGTCTGCTGAGTTCTCGGCGATCTCAAAACTTCTTTCGCAAATTTTTCAGCCAATACGTGAGTTGGGGATAATTTTGGATTGGATAGAATGGCTTTGACGAACGTTGTACGGCTCTGCCGATTTTTCAAACTCACATTCGTCGGCTCTTCCGAGATCAATGCACTTTTATCGTTAAATTCAATGCACGTGACAGTCGTTACTAGTAGGATACTGACAAAAATTCTGGACAGAGGGTTCGTGAGGTTAATGAACTGACGTGCATCATTAGAAATCAAGTTATCGTCTCATTATATAAATACCTAAATACAATAGCGCGCATTTTCTCGGAGAATTAAATAGTAGAATCCCTATTGCAGCCATCAGTTACAGCTTCAAATAAACTTCACTCTGGCGCTTCGAAATAAAAAAAATTACCGGATATAAAAAACATTGAGGTAAATATAGGCGCAAGTTGTTCTTTACCTTCTTCTTTTTCTCGTTATTTCTTTATTAATTTTCACGAGTTTTCCTGAAAAATTCTTCAACACCGGACATTTCTCGATAGAATAAATTAATTCCTTTGGAGCAATTTTTTTGCTGGGAATTGCAATATGGCCTTGATAGGCAGTAAAAGTTGTAAAAGCTGTAAAATTCAAAGTCTAGTAACGCTGAGGAATGTTAGGAATTTTTCTTCTCGTTTAGTTGGTAATTTTCAAATTGAATTCATCGACTAGCCTGTCTCCCCACTTCTCTTTTCTATAAAACAGTGCGCATGGAAGGGATGAACAGTTTACGCCTGTTCCTGGGAGTTTATGTTTCAATGCGACAAGTGGCGTTCGATCTGTCAAATTGAAACTTGACTGTTTTTCATTTTAAAAATTCCATCACTTTCCCTAACAATGGGATTCTCCTCGTCGTAAATCTCCATTGATCCACGATTAAACTCCCTCCCATCTCCAATTTATCCGATTGATAGAAGAAATAATGAAACATATAGAATTGAACAAAGGAGAGCACGAGTTGCATTTACCGAAGAAAGATGCAACTACCAGTGAACAAAGTATCTCCAGTCTCATGTCCACTGCATCCTCGTCTCAGGATGAGAATTTTCGTGTTGTTAAACATGCGGAGAACAGTTTGCGATGCATGGAGGAATATTTGCACCAGCAATTGTTGACCGACGTTGTTCTCATTGCAGGTCAGTACCCGAATTTTTTGAATTAATGGACAGGTTCGAGGCAATTGAACTCATTTAATAATAAATTGATAATTACGGGCTGCAGGAGATAAACGATTTCCAGCGCATCGTTTAGTCCTTAGTGCAGGCTCTGAGTATTTTTCCGCAATGTTTACGAGTTCTTTGAGGGAATCCGGTCAAAATGAAGTGGAATTGAGGGAAGTTGATCCAGGAGCATTGTGGGCACTTATTCAATATTGCTATACAGGTGAAAGAAGTTACTGCATTTTTTCAAGGTATTCATTCACTTGAGAGGAGTATTCAGGTTTTTGTGCAATTGTAATTAAAAGTGAATCACAATTACTTAGGAATATTTTAAATGGTAATTCTGTCAAGTTGATGAATACGCAGTAAAATCATTCTTCGTTGCGATTGATAAGGATAATGTTAGTGGATATTTTTGATGTCAGGCTGCATTGAACTTCGAGAAGACTGTGTGGAGACTCTTCTAGCAACTGCTAGTCTTCTTCAAATTGACGCAGTGGTGAAAGCCTGCTGTCAATTTCTTATAAAACAATTGCACCCGAGCAATTGCCTCGGGATACGCATGTTCGCTGACACCCAGGGCTGCTCCCATTTATTAAACGTCGCCCACACATTTACAACTGAACACTTCATGGAAGTAATGAAGAATCAGGAGTTCATGTTGCTTTCAGCGGATGATGTTGCCAAATTAATTGAATCCGATGACTTGAACATTCCTTCGGAGGAGATTGTCTTTCGTGTGAGTGAATTAGCTCAATCATTAAATCAACCGATCAAATTAATTATTTAATCCACAGGCATTAATAAGTTGGCTGGAGCACGATCTCGAGGCTCGTCGTAAAGACGCCAGCAAACTCTTGGGATTGGTGAGACTGCCTCTGTTATCACCAGTGGTAAGTGCCGACGAGTCAGTTATCAAAGACAACAGAAAAATACGAGACAGACACATTTTATAATTTCAACAGTTCATAGCTGATAACATCGATGGCAACGAGATATTCAAGGACGATAAACGAGCGCAGGAATTAGTGATGGAGGCACTGAAGTATCATCTGCTGCCTGAGAGACGTCCTCTGCTCCAGACCTGCAGGACCAGGCCTCGAAAAGCAACCGTGGGACAACTACTGGCCGTGGGAGGAATGGACGACAACAAAGGTGGCACAAGCAATAATAATTCTCTAAGAAAAATGTTTTTCCCACGATTCTAGCAATATACTGTTATGAAAGACTTATGTTTCGAGAGTTTTTTTTTATTGTTTTTTGTTCTGTATTATTTCCAAGGTGCCACTTCCATTGACGCTTTCTCTCTGTGCGATAATGCCTGGAAGTACTTGGCTAGTATGAATGGTCGTCGTTTGCAATTCGGTGCGGCTGTCGTTGGATCGAGATTGATTATTGCTGGGGGCAGGGATGGACTCAAGACCATGAACAGTGTCGAGAGACTGGATTTTTCTACTTTAAAGTGGAGTAGCTTGCCATCTATGAATACTCATCGTCATGGCTTGGGTATTTTTTTCTCGCAATCTCTTTCTAGAATAAATATTGGAATATTTATGATTAAGCGTTACTTCTGTTGTACATATTCATATTGGTTTCGATCATTATCGGGTTTTAAAAAAATATAGCAATCCGAAGGACCTTTTCTCAACTCATTCTGAATTCATTTTTAGGATAAATGTAATTAATTTGGAGTCTGCTTAATTAATCTCGTATAATTTATTATTTTTCATTGTTTGCAGGTGTTGCAGTTCTCGGTGGACCGTTGTATGCAGTTGGTGGTCACGATGGCTGGAGTTTCTTGCAGACTGTTGAGAGATGGGATCCAAATACACAGGAGTGGAGCTACATTGCTCCCATGCCCGGTCCGAGATCTACTGTAGGCGTAGCAGTTCTCAACGACAAGTATTTATCACCTGGATATTTTCCCAATTTTCGGTGGCTGATGTCAGTCAGACTAAATATATTTTCCTTTGTCGATGCTAAAATAGATTATATGCTGTTGGCGGAAGGGACACGAACTCGTGCCTGAACACAGTGGATTGTTACGATCCACATACCAACAAGTGGAGTAGCTGCGCATCAATGTCTCAGAGACGCGGTGGAGTCGGTGTGGGTGTTGCCAATGGATGTCTTTATGCACTCGGGGGTTACGATGCAGCCTCTAGGGGCTCAAATGCTTGCAGATATGACAGTGTTGAGCGGTAATTTTTTTACAATTTAAATTGTCCAGTCTTTTCAGGTCTCAAGGAAAAATTTTTTTTTCTCTCGGTGAAGGGATAAATCCGAGATTGAGAATTCCGAAAAAAAAAAAATTCGGAAAGTTAATTCATTCTCACGTGTATTAATGTGTATTAATTATTCTTCTCTGACTATTGTCACTATTGAAAGTCTACAGTAATTTAAACTTTCAATTTTTTGTATTGAAGATATGATCCAAAGACAGATACGTGGACTGTGGTGGCACCAATGAGTGTGGCTAGAGATGCAGTCGGTGTTTGTCTCCTGGGGGACCAATTGTTAGCTGTTGGTGGTTACGATGGGCAGCAATATCTCACTCTCGTTGAAGCCTATGATCCCATTATCAACGAGTGGCACCAAGTAAGTACATCAAATCAACTGGCAGTACCTGTTTCATGGAGTCGGAGGATTTTTGGTTGAGTAGTTTTTTTTTTGTTATATTTTTGTAGGTCGCACCTCTGAGGGCAGGAAGGGCTGGTCCATGTGTCACGTTGAAAGACCCTATTGGCTGAAAAGTAAAGGACCTGACTCCAGTGACTCGTTCATATTGTCATAATCAAAAGTTCCAGTGAAAGTAAAAATTAGGTGGTATTTTTAAGGAATGCGTGGGGTAATCTCAATTGATCTCTCCATTCGTATCGATTGAAGACTGAAAGTTATTGAAGGCTCAGTATTTTATCGAAAATTCTGCAAACTAATTTATTCGCTCAAATTTTGTCATGTCATCGTAATCAAGAATTTTCGTAATATTTTTGCAAGTCTGAATGCATTCGTTTAATTGTCATTGCATTTCTGGAATGTCATACTTGTTGGTTTTACATAATGTTTTTATAATATCTTTAATGTAAGGCGTTCTGTATTCAACAATGTGCTTTAATATTAAGGACATCGTGTATAAATGTATGTTCCACATTGTAATTTCTTAGATAAATAAAAAATTATATATTTGGATGGAAATTACCTCGTTGTAATTTTTTTTTCAGAATCCTATTTCCCAATGCCTGTGGCAACAGGCAGCGATTAACACGCGGGAAACGTCCGGTGAAAATCAGAAGCTGCCTCAGCAAATTTGTTCCTGACCATGAATGTGGCTATTGCCTCAGCCACTTTATCTGGAACATCCTCGTGAACAGCATGTCCACAAGCTGGCAGTACTTGCATTTGAAATTTCCCTTGCATTTGACCTACAGTAAGATCTCGATCTAATCTATCAATTCCAGCGAGAAGTAATAATTTCGGAGCAGGTACATCCAAAAACGCCGAAGACAGCCCCTTAAACCATCCAGCCCAGTATTTCTCAGTCTTAGCCAAGTTTATCCTCCACCCGTATTTCTTCTTATCTAAATTTCCAGGTTCCTTCGACACTGTTGCCTCCTGCTTAACTTCATCCCTACCAGCACCTTCTTCCGTAACATCTTCAGGAATCACATCCTCCCTCTCAATGGCAATCGCAGCTTTATCATCAGCATGATGATTGGATGATAAAAATTCCTCGATATCGTGAGTCGCCAGTTTATTCGTTAGAGTATTTTTTATTTGTCCAGGAACAGATATTTTAGCTGACAGTACATTTCGAATCTGACCACTACGTACACACCACTCGATAGCCTGTGGCATTGACGAGAAACTCGAGGGTCTCGATCTCAGGAAACTCTGCATTGATGTCAATGCCTCCATCGCTGTTCCCTCCACCACGTCAATCACAGTAACACCAGTCAAATTCTTGAGGAGTGGAGCTGCTCTCACAGCCACTGCACCACCCATACTGTGACCTACTAAAATCACGGGAATGCCTTCTGATACAGCTTCAATTACTGCTGCTACATCGGTAGCTAATGTATCTGCGGATAAATCATCATCGTTGGTCGTATGTGTGTCACCGTGACCCCTCAAATCAATCGCCAGGACTCGACACACAATCATCGATGTAATTGATTTAGTAAATTCAGCCCAAGTGAGTGCACTGTATCCTCCACCGTGCAATAACACCAGCATTGGTCCTTCATTACCAGTGATGTAATAATGAAACGTATTGGCCCCGATAACGATATCCTTGGATCCATCAAAATACGGCGTCCACTGGACAGGATCGTAATCTCGTTTTCGTTGGAGAGCCCTGGCTTTACAAGACCTGAAATTATTACTCTTTTTTTTACTCCGCGTCGATCCTTTCGTCCAAGTTCATAAATAACTGATGGACAAAATCATTACGTGGCAGGTAATTTCATATTGCAATGACAATTAATATTTTTCTAACCTCCCAGTGGCGAAATTCAGTCCAGACGGTGGAAGTTTCGATTTTAAAATGGACTTTTGAAGGGCTGACATTTTCCGAGTACTCGATGTATCACCAGGTTTGTCCTTATTTTGAGTAATGAATTTTTTGGTAATGCTATTTTTTTTTTCACAAATAAATACTTGGCATTATTTCTTGTCTATAAACAAATGATTGAATGTTTTGACGGCTCGCTCGATTGATTCCGGATGGGTTTGGATTGGAGCAGTATTTTCCACTCGTGGTAAGAGCGCGAAAATTCAATTCAATATTCCACGAGACCGACAAGTACATTCAAATGCTAATTCGCTACCTTGAAATTATCACTAAACTGTTGTGAGATTCCATAGGTAATTCCCGATAAAACCAGCGGTAAATTAATTCACAAATCGAACAGTAGTAAAAAGAGCGCATCCATTAATAAAATAATCATCAAGTAATGGATGGTGTTTAAATCACGATATTCTTCGATTCGAAGAAATCTCTAGATAATTTGAAATTATCTTGACGAAGGAATGCAAAACAAAGTCATCATCGAACGACATTATAAACGTGCCATGCCGTACCACCTAATGACGTAATTCTTTTCTTCTCGACTCTAACATGAATACATCCGCACACCAAGGAGATTATTGAGAAAAAAAAAGGAAAACATTATTAAACACCGGCCTTGGACCACATCTATCGAACATTCGAGATGAGCCCACGTTATGCCACTCGAATGCCTAAATCCGGAGTTCGCTCCAAAAAATATAAAAATGCGAATAATCCGTGGATTTTTATTCGTGATTTATCAGCAAGTGTTAAAGTAATATTCATGATATTTAAATATTAGATGCTGGGGAGAGGTGCGAAAACGCTTGGAAGGTGCGATTGTCGTGGAAATTTATAATTATTATTGAATATTTAATAATTTTGTGAATTTAATTGATTTGACATTTTTTTTTTAAACAGAGTGGAGTGATTTTTGGGTGAAGAATGTTAATTTCTTGGGAAATTGGAGGGAATAAGGCAGCGCACTCTGTACGATCTGGTTGTAAGGAGGATGACCTTGTGGCATTTGGTACCTGGTGGTACCAGGCGTCGCGTACCAGCCACTCAAACCCACCCGTGGAACGTATCTCCCACGAGTTGCACACCGGTTGGGCTAAATAACAAATGTTAGTATCCACCTTCTCTCTCCCTCATTGCCACCTCCCCATCATCCATCCCATTCTCCTCCATCAGCTTTAAAACATGGATTCGATCACACTAGGAACTCACGTGAAAAAGAATTGAAATATCAAGAAAAAAAAAAATCGTCATGGCAATTGCACGAGGAATGCCGATGCATCATTACAGCTAGAACAAAATGCCAGTGTAATACCCGATCTGACCTTTATCATTATTGAGTTTGACAACGCAATCATTTATTCCATGATCAACCATCTCCCAAGGAATTGTTTCATCCGCGAAAATTATGTGAGCATGATTGCATTTTGCCGATTTTAGGAGAATTTTTTGAGGATTGATTTGAATTTTAGGGAATCGACGCATCGACCAGTCAGTCCGATCGAAAAATCGTTTGCTTCGCTATGCAAAATTTAAAACGATGTCGATATAGAAACTATGTAATGCCATTGAACGGAAATACGTCACTCAAGTTAACGGTTAATGTTTTTGTACAAGTGATCGCACTGCGAGTCGTTCAGCGCTGGCTCAAATGACCCTAATTAACGTTTCGGAGGAAGTATTCAACTGCGTATTAATAAATCGTCAGCTGGGGATATTGTGTACTGGGGGTCTTTTTTTTTTTGGAAAGTAAAAGTGGGGAGGGTCACAATAATGCCTCAGGTAGGAGGAAACACCTGCCGGTCAAAGGGCACTGATTTCTCAGGTCATTTCAATTCATACCAGGTGATGCGGTCATAGAATTTTTTATCTTCATTCGTTCGAGAAAATAAATTCCTTAACAATGAGTCGGAGAATATTTAAACATTTATTGCTATTCAATGTTTTTACTTGACTGACAGCGCGAGGTGAAGTTTCACACGTTTTCTTTCCGATTTCCGTATGACTGGTTAATCGCGGAAACGCGAGAATCGCTCAGCCTTTAGATTTTATGTCTTGTTTCGAAAATTAGAACAGAGAGCTGGGACCAGTCATATATATTATTTTTTAAATTTGTTAAAAACGAAATGCAGGAAACAGAACAGAAATCAAGAAAACATATTTTTATTTATTTCTCGCTAGAAACTAAAACTTCGGTATTTTTAGCAGACTCATCCTTCAAATATGAGCTTGAGAATATTAAAAACTTTTATAGCAACGAGCAGTTATCGCTGCCGATAACCAGAAGCGGAATTATACATTCTTATGTCCAATTCGTGGAATATAGTGTTAAGAAAATCGGAGTTGTTTTTCTATCTTGGGTAATTCCTCAAAAATGATATTCAACCCTTTGTCTCGTCGCACAGCGACCAGAACATCAATTCTGGACAAGATAATGCATAAAGAGATAAGAGTTTTCGCCGAACCAGAGGAAACTCATTTCCTCCCTGAATTCCAAAAAACCAGCATCGGTCTGTAAAGATATATGGAGAATCATTCACTACCGATTAGTATATCCTCATGAAACTCGTGAATATTCGGCATATATGAAATTCTGAAATGCAACAGATGCAATCGATGATAAATCCTCAAGTAAATAAGCTGAATTACCATGTGTTTGGAATTTTTTTAAATTATGCGAGTTCTTTACGTAATTCAGAATTTCACTCTGCGGGAATCACAAATAATTCTCTCAGAAAATTCGCCGTATTGAACGAACCGATACTTGAAAACTTGTTGACTTTCCTCAGAGTGTCGGTCGTAGACCCGAGGGACAAATCTCCCCCTGGAATGGGCCGATGGAGAATTTAACCTGAGTTTATTACCCCAATCTTTTTTTTTTCAAATTCCAAACGTTCCCCTAGCCAATAAATTCACCCAACGAATCCTATGATGTTTACGATTTTCTGTTTACACCAGTTTTCATCAGTCCAGACTCATTGGTCAGTGGTGAGTTCCAGTTTCGGATGAAATGTATTGGGACGAGTGTTTCCTGTTAATTGGACAAACCGGAGATTCGAGCCGACGATATGTGAGGATTGAAAAAATGGAATTAAAGATTTTTTTTGGATGCAGAGCCTGGGTGTCCCTGGTGGGGATGTTGGTATAGTCGATGAGGGATCGGATGGACGAAAAAAGATGGTATCGGTGGTGGCAACTTGTTGAAGATCCCCAACTCAACTGGAAGGTTGGGTGGGCGCTGAGTACGCGCCACTGTGCCAGTACTGCCAGTCGCCTGGTGACCGCGACCGGGTTAATAACGCGCGTTAGCCATGGATTGAAGAAAAAAATAATAATATATCAATAAACATTGGTGTATACCTGTGTCACCCCCTCCCTTCACGTTTACTTGTGTTGTGATTTTTCCAATCAAACTCAATCTCAAATCTCCATTCCATCCTTTTTTTTTCTCACCATCTTGAGTTGTGCGTTAAATCAACAAAGCGAATTTAAGAAAAAAAAGTTCATTATCAGCTTGAGTCCCAAGACACAGTGAAATTCAAAACAAGCGGGTATCTGTTTGAATTTTCCTGGGTTTGATAGAAATTCATTTTGAAAAATAAAATCAAAAACGATAGGATAAGTGGCTACAGTGGATGGATTGTGTTGGATGTTAAGATAACTGTGGTAAATTAGTACGGTGAAATATATATATATATACATATATATATATTTTTTTTTTGTGAACCGGAGCGCGCGATGCCGGTGGCCGAGATGCTGCCGGGCCTCGCTTCCGGTCTCCTTGATTTTCAAAGCCGTTGCGCTGGACAATATCGACGCAATACAACCTACCAGCTATTATTTATTGCACTTGTCAATTTAGTGCTTGTTCAGACGAGTGTCATCGGGGCTATCAAGGGCATTGGTAATTTACACATTAATACTACTTTCATTGTTGAATTTAATAATGATTAAACTAGACGTAAACGGAGAGCAAGCAACTACTCATTCAATACTCTGTACTTCGTATCAACTCGACCCAGCCATACCCTCACAACTAATTGTTTATTATACTGATGATCCTGTCATGGTGAGTCCACTCTCAGCATCGAGTCATGATGCTCTTCCATTATTCTCTCTCCTGTTGCCACGGTTGTTATTTTCACTTGGAAAGTTTTTCCTCATTCTCGTGATTCTCGAATGTTGAAAAATCAGGATTTTTCCAGGAAGAAACTACAGGGAAAACCAGATATTTCTTTCGTGTGAGCTGGTGGGGCGGGGGTTGAGCAGGGGGAGAAGAGATTTTTGAGGTGAGGGGCACGGTGGAGTCCAAGGTAAAACCTGACTATCTCAAAATATCGTAATAGTCTTATACCAGAGCGTTATGTTTCTTCGTCTCACTGGAGGTGAAAACCGGTTTCTCATCAAGGGGGCCTTACCTCGAAGATCCTTTGGTGCCTTTACGCGTGCGTCATGTACGATCCCCGCACATGGATTCATATTTTCCAATCATTTTAATATCATTGACAAAATCATTCTAGTGATGCACTCTTATTATATTAGTCTCTCTATATTAAGCTGATAACGGTTGATGCGTTCCATGATTGTTCAAATATTCTTGACCGTTTGTTTGCTTTGTCACGTTGACTCACATGATTTTTAAGGCATCTATATTTTATTTATTGGATTTGAATCAATATCTCTCGTGTGAATCGTCGCGCACTATCAAGAGACTTTGTGTCGAGAAAATCAAAAGCTGGAGGCAAATATTGACTCGCATGTCTCCCCCACGTATACAAATGTCTATTTGTCAGTGGTGCATGCATGGAGCAGACTTTTATTAGTTCATATATTTTTTTTCCTTCTTTCTTCGTATCTTCTCTTGTCAAGCATCCAGTGTTTACATTCGCATCATGCGTTTAAGGAGCGAGCAAGAGATACTGCTAATCGCCCATGTATTCTCAGGGACACATGATAATAATTTCATCGCATTCTTCTATTTATTAGATTAATTCGCATTTTCATGGTTATCTAGGCGATTCAGAGGGGAAAAAATAGGGGTGAGATTGGTTGACGATGTCATGACGAAACAGCGATTGCATGAACTTTAGCATCAGGCGTGACCATGACACACCCGAGTGCAAAGCAATGACCCAATCAATTGCTGGTGACAGCTACTTATTTTCCTTAATTAGCATTCATTCATGTTTTATTTATTTTTTTTTTCGCAGATGTGGTTCTTTTTCGTAATTTATTGGGTATTTATTGGTATTTATCTGGCAACGGTGCGCGCTATTCCGAGTGACCGATGTTTACGGGGGAATACCTGAAGACGTGTCCACCTAGGTCTCATGTGCACTTGAACACGTGCTCCAGGGATAAACAAAAAAAAGACTCATCAAGCCCACTGACCTATTGAAGAATAACACCATGACATTTTTTTTTTCTCTCATGCCATGTGGAATCACAGTATTTCCATTTATCCTGCATCATTCTTTTACAATCCGTTGGGCTATTCCACTGGTGAAAGTTTTCACCCAATTCTCGCACTAACTCACGTTCCCCTTGATTACCTGATACCCGAAGAAACTCATTGTTTTTCTTTGTGTATTTTTTAACGCGTGCAGTGGAATATATTGACTTCGGTCGTACGAGTTAAAAATTTTCGCTGATGGATTTATCCTCGGGACGTGATGGATAAGAGAAACGATACATCCTTAACATGCACCATGTCCACTGATGAATTTCACATTCCAAAGATGCTAATCGCGAGGTTTTGTGATGACAAAAGCACGGGTCTGAGGTTTTTCAAGGTAAAACGAGGAGAGGGACAAGGGTGTCACGAGTGGTGCCGCTATCCGATTTTTTATTCAGGTGTCGTTCCACGTGGTGTACCGTGTACATCATCTACTGGTCAAAATGATATCGAGTCGACAAATAAATATCGGTGATATCGTAATTAATCGATCTATGCCAGTGGAAAATAAAGTGGCAAAATACCCGGAGCTATCGGGAAATTAGGTGATTCCGTGTTTATCGGGGAATAACCGTTAGGCGTGGTGAATATTTAATCTCAATCATTTGAGAGTAAATATAGAGTAATTGGTGTTTGTCAGGCTGCGGGTGAATAAAAAAAATAAATACGTGGGTGAGTTGTTGCTCCCTGGTGATAGCGCTCCTCAGGTTGATGGTCTATGATGGTATAACCAGGAGTTGTGTTTAGTTGGTAGAGGTAGACGGACCAGGCCTCTCTCAGTTCATTGACCTCGGACTAGCGGCCGAGCGGATAGCGGGACCCTGGCTCCAATGGTCCCGTCCCGATCGCGTTGGCTTGCCTCTTTTTCTTTTTTTTTTTTATTTCTTTTACCCCCCTCTGTACACCTTTCTTACGTGTACATGGATAGATTTCGAGCGACAAGTTGTTTCGCTCTTATTTCAGTAATAAGTAGGTGATATTGATGGCTAGGAAGGTGGGACCACTTGACCAATCTCGTGTGATCACGCAAAACGAAACTGCAATCTCATGACTCGACAATTGACTTACCCACGATTACCGCAAACTGCACCTGAAAATTGGAACAATTTTTATTTTTTTACTGCATAGAAATATAATGTTGTTAAATTTTTATGGAGTTTGGGCTAGCCTGTGTGGGAGTGTAAATGTCCGGTCGAACTTTCTACGAGTCAAGGGCAGTCTTTGTTATCTTTTTTTTCTTTTTTTTTTCATTTGCATACTCGGTCGTTTATCAAATTCATATGATGAGGAATGATAACCTTCAGTGTCACGGTACAAGTGATAATTGGTTAATAACTCTTACTTTGCATTATTCAGACATGTAATGGTTGTGTGAAGTGTGTGGAGAATCAAAGATCAATTCTAGAGGATGGAGAGGATGGAGAAGTTTTTCAAGCAGCTGGGAGTCGTGTGTAATACCTGTTGAATGTACCTTGCACTGAAGAAGCGCCGGCTCTTCTATTCTCGGCGGTGCAACACAGGTGAAAGCTAAAGTTTTCCCACGTGAAAAAAAAAAATGCCTACCCAAGGGGAGTAGGGGATACGACAGCAATTGCACGACAATTCTCGTATCTCGAGTCGATATAGAGGACTGAGAGATACTTTACTCGGAATGACTTTTTCAAATGGCCAACACAATCGTTCATCTCTCCATCCGTATACCCAGGAGCTCTATTAAGGACGCAATAATTACTTCTTCCATTATTGGATTTTCATACCCTCATTAAACAGCATCATAATTATTTACCTTTCTTGAAATAAAGGAATTACTTTGCACAATCCAAGATGTGAAATGAAAAAGGAATAAAAAAAAGCCGAGAATTGCTGACACGTTGGATCAAACGTGTCTTTTGCAATGTCTCGACGACGAATTTGGTGTACGAGTTTTGTCGCTGGCACACCAAATGTCGTTGACCTTTCTTCTCTCATTCCAGTTGGTAAATCCAGTCGTGTCATTTATACCTGTTAGCCGCAACGTGGCGTTGCAGCTTGCATTTATCCACATATTGTTAATCATCTAATACCTCACGGTATTCCCCATTCCACCCTTTGATTACATGAAATTTTATTATTGCTGAGTACAAATTCAATGACAGTTAACGCCCGGACGCAATAATGGACACACTGGCGACTTCCTCCCATTGACAAGACAACCGACTATGTGCGCTTCTTTTCCTTTCACCTGTTGACTCCATTCATCTTTTTTCCTCCCTCAGTCTCCTCCCCCATGAGTTTCTCCTCTCAACTCCAATTGTTCCTCTCAATCTCTATTATCATGACATTTAGGATATATATATTTTTTTTTTGTTCGAAAGGCTACACTCAACGAGTCAATTATGCCACCGTACCATCGAATAATTCGTTGAATCAAATTATTCGTAACATCGAGGTCGTTGAATCAATTCCGTAGCCACTGTACTCGATATGTTAAAAAAAAAAGAGAGGGGAGACAATTGACATACTCTCACAGTGTAATAACACACGTACGTATTGACCAATGGACGAAATATAATAGAGTATCGAAAGAAATGAAGATGATCGCCGAGGGTGTCTCGTGACATTAATCGAATTATTCAATTTGCTACACCGTGATCTAGATTTCTCGAGGGGCTTTAATATTTTTCCTGTTCGATATTGGAAAAATTACTCTGGAATAATGCCTGTGGATTTTTGTCTGTCCCCATTATATCATTTATGAAATAAAGTGGAGTGAATAAAATGAATAGAACGGATTTAAAAAAATTTTTGTCCATTGAGGGAGAAGACAAATGTTGAGATAGGGATTCTGGTTAATGGTGTGGCTTTTGAAAATAGTTTGTCTCGGTTGTTTTCACTCCCTACCAGTAGTAGAGGCTTTACCACGAGACCTCGCGGTACCAGGCTGTGCAGCCGAGGTGCCTGGCACGAGAGCCCCAGCCCCAACACTACAGAGAACCCGAGACTACAAACCGCTCTGTTACTGCACTTCGGAAGACCTACCATCGCATAGGCATACTCAACTTCACTTTATCTCATTGCAACCTCATGCCATCTCTCGCTCCTCTCTATTCCCCCCTATTTTTTTTTTACTCTGCCTTTTCCTTCTCACTCGGAATCTTTAAGATTCTTCGAGGGGAATCATTCTTACACGCAGCATAATCTCAGTCTCATCGTCTTACTTTCAAAGGTCTCACTACAGTGTATTAAACACTCGGTGCATCACGTAAAAATTGAGAGGGGGATACCTAGGTGATTACCTATGCATCAATGCCCCTCTGGCTATTCAGATGCCAAATGCATGATAGGCTTGGTGGACAACTGCACAAGCCCTTCGTCATCTGTCTGTCCAGATTTTTACGTTGGAATTCAGATTTTTACGTTGGAATTCAGATTGGTACTCGTATGATGCAACACTCACTGACACAAATCAAAGAACATCGTCAATCTCTTCTGCTCCAGTAAATGTTGTAGTTTATCCTCTTCTTCTGGGGACTATTAAAAAATTTCACCTCGTTCAAGTCTGTAGTTTTTATTGATTAAATAGTGGGGTAATTAAATATTTACGGAGGATATTTCAAAGATCAATTACGATGGAGTTGTTTGAGGTGTATGTTGTGATTCGAGGGGGTGATTTAATGCATTAGTTCACGAGGTTTTTAATGGTCTTATTTTTAATAGGTAAAAATGGAAAATGTGAAAGGGTTTTATATGGAAAGTAATGATGACCCTTTCACCTATCACGACTGTACTCTTCGATCGTTATTTCTTCATAATTTTTTTTATTCTCCTTGAAATCTACTCTCTTGTCATTCTTTAATAGACGATGGAGCTGGCTGTGGAACGGGAATGTTCAGGTGTTCGGACGGAAAGTGCATACAGCAACTTGCGGTATGCAACTATCAGAAGGACTGCGAGAATGGCGAGGACGAAATGCAGTCGTGTCGTAAGTTGAATTATTTACCATTACTATGCATATTATTTTTTATCATAAAAATAATGCTGATTGTTCCACCACCGGATGAGGAAACATCGAAATTCTAGCTGTAGGTACTTGATTATTTCCGGCATGCGAGAGTGATTCCACTTCCGCTTATAGAAAATAGTTCATAAGTTTATTATTTCGAGAGAAGGTGATTTTTTATTGGATATTTAATCGACGATAAAAAAATATCAGTAACTCGATTTATGTGATTTTAGTACTTCGTTAATGAATGCGTTATGTTTATGTATATTTGATTGGTTTAACTCAGTGATTATTATTTCTCAGCACCACCTGAGTGTGAGGCGGGTCAATTGTCCTGCAGCCAGTACATTTTCAACAAAACTTATTGCATACCCCAACACCAAAGATGCGACAGAACGGTAGACTGCGTGGATGGGACGGACGAGGCCGGATGCAGTGAGTAACGTCTGAATTTTCCACAGACTTGACTGCATTATAATATTAAGTCGTCTCTCATTATCTACATTACTTATTTCCCATATTGACCGGAAATGGGTTGATCAAGATAGAGTGAGAAAACATACGATAGAAAAAATAAAATAAAATTATCCATAACGTTAACATTCGTCAGACACACATCAATCGTGTCTTCACTTGGTCAATGCCAAGGTCATTGAGAATAATAAAATTCCCATAGTGAGATATCACGCAAGGTCTTTTATCATTGAATTTGTGTCACATGTCACCAATCGCCAAGGACGCGTAAAAGAGAATAGCATATCAATGGTTCTCATCGGCTTTTACAAATTCAACAAGTACAGTAATAAATAACTATCAGCGATAGTAATCTGGGATTGTGTTTTTCAGTATACAGAAAATGTCAAGTAGATGATTTCAAATGCAATGGGGGCCTGTCAACCAATGAAGTTTGCATTCCAAAGGAGAAGAAGTGCGACGGCTACTTTGATTGTAGAAATGAAAAGGATGAGGAGGCATGTCCGCTGAATGTGAAACCCGCATGTAGATTGGATCAATTCAGGTGTAATTCGACACAGCGATGTGTCGAGCAAAGTGCAAGGTGCAATCACAAAGACGATTGCGGCGATAACAGCGATGAGGAGCATTGCAGTGAGTTATACTTCACCCAAAACACCGAAAATAAAATTCGACTAAATCGAATTTTGCATTCTTCCTCATGATTTTTACGCCGCTCATTAAATTTCATTGATCAATATTATTCGATTAATTTGGTTAAAAAATTTACCAAATATTTTGAAAAATCAATAAATTCAAGTCATTTGTTGCACAACTGCACAGTTGGTGAATCATTATAATTCGTAAAAGAAAGAAATAATTGTTTTCAGATTTTCCACAGTGCACGATTGAGCAATACAGGTGTGCAAATGCCTTATGCATTCCACTGGTTTTTCGCTGTGACGGTCACAAAGACTGTCCAGATGGTTCGGACGAGAAGTCCTGCAAGGTGACAGTGTGTCCCGACAACAAGTTCATGTGTCCAAAGGGTGGATTAGATGGCAAGCCCCTGTGCATCGAGAGATCTCAGGTCTGCGACACTAAAGCTGACTGTGCAGATGACGCTGACGAAGTTGCTGCATGTTCCAAAGACGCTTGTCCCTCATTAAGATGTACCCACAACTGTCGAGCCTCCCTCACTGGTGGTACCTGCTACTGCCCCGAGGGATTTATACTCGCCAATGACTCTGGCATTTGCATCGATAGAAATGAGTGCAATGAGTGGGGATACTGCGAGCAACTCTGCGAGAACACCGAGGGCTCGTACGTATGCAAATGCGCTCCTGGATATAATCTAATTGGTCGTAACAAGTGTCGTGCCCAGAACAATCAGCACTGGCCAGCTGTTGAACTCTTGCTAGCCCAGGATCGTGCACTCTGGCGTATGTACGCAAATAATAATAATCGTACACTAGTGGCTAATACCACTGGTGCTAGTGGTGTTGATTACCTATTCTCGGAGAATCTCTTGTTTTGGAGCGATATAAAAACGAGAAAAGTTCACTCTCAACCCCTGTCACTGGCTGACTCAGCCGCTGAACAAGTCGATATATCACCACCTGGATCATGGTCTCCAGTGGCGATTGCTGTTGATTTCATCGGTAGAAAACTCTATGTCGTCGACTCAATCGTCCAGAAGATCGATGTGTTCGAATTGGATGGTCGCTACCATGGAATAGTCCTTGGTTCAAATCTCACTAGTCCTGCGGATATCGCTCTCGATCCCACTGTTGGCCTCATGTTCATTGCTGACAATAAACAAGTACTCCGTGCCAATATGGATGGAACTAATGCATTTTCAATCATATCTGAAGCTGCCTACAAGGTATCCGGTGTTGCTGTCGATATGATTGCCAAGAGAATTTACTGGTGTGACTCTTTACTCGATTACATAGAGACAGCTGACTACAAGGGCGGAAAAAGGGTGATGGTGCTGAGGGGATCGCAGGTACCTGCCCCCACGAGACTTACAGTTTTTGAAAATCAGGTTTACTGGACTGACAGCACAAAACAGGCTGTCATGAGCACTGATAAGAACGTGGGAGATGGAAATATCGATATTATATTCAAAGTTCGTGATGCAAAGGCTATTAAGGCTCTTCATCCTCTCGTTCAGGATGCTGGAAATATAAAAAATCCTTGTGGTAATAACAATGGTGGATGCCAGCACATGTGCATTGTCACTGCTGCTGGAGGTAGAGAAAGTGGGCTGGGGTACAGGTGTGCTTGTAACATTGGCTGGAGGTTATCGAGTGATCTGAGAAATTGTAATTTAGTTCAGGAGTTCTTGATGTACTCCCAGCAGAGGTTCATCAAGGGAAGGGTTCTGGACCCCGTGATGGAGGGATTCAGTGATGCTATCCTTCCAGTTGTATCCAGACGCGCTAGATTCGTCGGGCTGGACTACGATGCACACGAGCAGTATATATACTACAGTGATGTTCTCCAGGACGTTATATACAGGGTACATCAGAATGGAACTGGTAGAGAGATCGTTTTAGCCAGTCAGAATGAGGGGGTCGAAGGTCTGGCAGTCGACTGGGCAGCCAAGAATCTGTATTATATTGACTCAAGAAAAGGAACGCTCAATGTTTTGAGCACGAGAAACGTCACGTATAGGAGAACCCTGCTCAAGAACTTGAAGAGGCCAAGGGCCATTGTTATCCATCCAAATCACGGATATATATTTTTCTCCGAGTGGGATCGCCCTGCAAACATCAGTCGCGCTCACGCTGATGGATCTAGTCTCGTGGTATTCAAGAACTTGACTCTGGGATGGCCCAATGGTCTCGCCATCGACTTCACTAAAGACAGGCTGTACTGGTGCGATGCATTACTGGATCATGTTCAGCACTCGAATCTGGATGGAGGCGATGTGAAAACCATCAGTCCAAGGTTAATAAGACACCCATTCTCGATTGCTATTCATGAGCAGTGGATGTATATTACTGACTGGAGATTGGATGCAATCATTCGATTGCACAAGGAAACAGGCCAGCAAGAGGCTATCCTCGTGAGAGAACCAGCTACTAACAGATTATATGGGGTCAAGGTCTTCAGTAGAGATATTCAGAAACCCTCGGATCATCCGTGTTCTATTAACAACGGTGGCTGTGAGAAACTCTGCTTCGGCATTCCTCAGAACATCTCAAGCAGATACCCAGGACTCCCTCAATTGTCAAGGGTCTGTGGATGTCCCTATGGAGAACGACTGATGCCCAATGAGAGAACCTGCACGTCAGATCCCAAAGCCGAGCCTCCGGTTCAAGCCTGCCCCAATCCTTGGGATTTCACCTGTGCTAATCAACGGTGCGTACCTCACTCCTGGGTGTGCGACGGCGATGACGACTGTCTGGATAATAGCGATGAAATGCAAAACTGCACGAAACCCACTTGTACAACAAATGAGTTCCAGTGTAAATCAGGAAGGTGTGTCCCCATGAGTTTCAAGTGTGACTCTGAAAACGACTGTGGAGACTACAGTGATGAAGCCAATTGTCCGAATGTCACATGTAGCGCAAGTCAATTTGCTTGTGACAATAATCGTTGTATACCGGCCTCCTGGAAGTGTGACTCTGAGAATGATTGTGGGGACAGCTCCGACGAAGGGGAATTTTGCGCTGCTAAAACCTGCGCGTATTTCCAATTCACATGTCCGAGGTCGGGCCATTGTATCCCCCAGTCTTGGGTGTGCGACGGAGATAATGATTGCTTTGATCAACAGGACGAGATGGATTGCCCACCAGTTACTTGTCTGAGTACACAGTTTACATGCGCCGATCGAAAAATGTGTGTTCTAGAGTCATACAAGTGTGACGGACTGTCAGATTGCAACGATGGGAGTGATGAGCTTGGCTGTCCATCATTGGCACCCGATCAGTGCAATCCCGACAAGCAGTTCCAGTGCGTGAGCTCTGGTGTCTGCATTCCCAAGAGCTGGTACTGCGATAGAACACCTGATTGCAATGACAAGTCAGACGAGCCAGAGTCCTGCGGTCAAAGACCAGATGAGTGCCCCGTTGGGTACTTCAAGTGTGTCAATCCGGTCAATCAGAGTTGTGTTTTCAAAACGTATATCTGTGATGGTAAAGACGACTGTGGCGATGGCTCCGACGAAGATCCTCTCCTCCATGCTTGTGCACCGCCACCCTTCAAATGTGATTCAAACCAGTGGCCGTGTCCTGGAGTGACTGGACGTTGCGTCAATCTGACCAGTGTCTGCGATGGTAAACCAGATTGCCCGAATGGTGGAGACGAGGGCTGGGGCTGTGATCTCACTGAATGCAGTCATCAGGGTGGGCTCTGCAGCAATGGATGCATTCAAACACCTGTCGGAGCTGAGTGCACATGTCCAATGGGCGAGGAGCTTGACAAGGATGGTTACAACTGTCGCGACAGAGACGAGTGTGATCCACCTGGTTTGTGTTCTCAAACGTGCACAAATACCAAAGGGAGTTATGCCTGCAGTTGCAACGATGGGTACAAACTGGAAGCTGACAATCACACATGCAAGGCATTCAATCACTCGGCCGCCTTCCTCATCATTTCAAATCGTCACACAATTCTGGTTGCTGATCTTCAGGAGCAGGCACTCGAGAGAGTGCCTATCAATGTCGAGAATGTTGTGGCAACTGCCAGTAACATGCAGACTGGAACAATCTTCTGGTCGGATATGAAATTGAAGAAGATTTCGCGTCTGGAGAAGGGAGGAGATCCCCAGGACGTGGTTTCTACTGGGCTGGATCTCGTTGAGGGACTGGCTTACGACTGGATCGGCAAAAATCTCTATTGGTTGGACTCAAAGTTGAATACAATCGAGGTTGTCAGAGAGACTGGCGAGTATCGAATGGTTCTTGTTAAGGAAAATATAACTCAACCCAGGGGTATGTGTCTCGATCCCAGCGCAGACTCGAAGTGGCTATTCTGGACCGACTGGGGGGAAAATCCTCGGATTGAGAGAATTGGAATGGACGGTACGAATAGATCCACCATCATCAGCACTAAAATCTACTGGCCCAATGGGCTCGCACTGGATATCGCCAACAAGCGAGTTTATTTCGCAGACAGCAAGTTGGACTTCATCGATACTTGCAAGTACGATGGCTCTCAGAGGATTCAAGTACTCGCTAGCTCTCACTATCTGCTTCATCCTCACTCATTGACTCTCTTCGAAGACACAATGTACTGGACTGACAGGCAATTGAATCGAGTTTTATCAGCTCACAAGTTCAAGGGAACCAATCAGACTGTCGTATCTCATCTGATCTCACAACCATTGTCAATTCATGTTCATCATCCGGTACTTCAGCCCATGTACACTAGTCCCTGTAACAATGCCAATTGCCAGCATCTGTGTCTCCTTTCCCCAAGTACTCCGTTGGGCTACACCTGCAAGTGTCTCATCGGTTTTAAATCCCTACCCGATGGCAGATGCATCGAGGAAGAAGTCCCGTACGTCATGGTCCTTCGAGGCTCGCAGATTGTCGATATCTCGTTGACCCCAGGAGACAGCAAAACAGGATACATCACACCTGTCGTTGGAATTGATGGTGGTGCTCTCATAGATTACGATAGAAGAGATAGAGTCATTTATTGGTTGCAGACGAGAGACGGGGACGATGAGAACGGCACAATTTACACGATTCCTTACATCGGAGGAAATAAAACACAATTCCCCAATCCTGCTGGTGATCCGGGTATCGTTGGATCTCCATCAACCATGGCGTTCGATTGGTTGGGAAGGAATTTATTTATCGGCAATAAATTTGCATCAAATATCGAAGCCATTAAAATCGATGGTGAGCCTAGATACAGAACTATTATTTTGGCCAACGATGGAACCCCGACCTCTGTAGCTAAACCCAAAGCGATGTGTGTTGATCCACTGGAGGGGCATGTTTTTTGGATCGACGAGGGTGGCTTTGGAGTGCCTGAGAAAATCGGCAGGATAAACATGGACGGCACTAACTCTCTCATCCTCATCAACAACACTTACAACCTAGAGGCCATCACTATCGATATCCCCACAAAAAGAATTTACTTCAGCTCGCAATACCCTGCCTCCATCAAATCCGTCACAACTGATGGTCAAAATATTCAGGAAATTCTCTCCAAAACCAATAACATAGCTCTACCAAAAGCCCTCGCTGTTCACGAATCAAAATTATACTTCTTGGATCCAACCTACGATAAAATTGAGAGGGTTGATCTCCCCAGTGGCAGTAACCCCGTCATTCTCGTCGATAACGAATCCACTTTGAAGACTCTCGTGATCTACAAGAAACGCGTCGACGGCTCTCATCCCTGTTTGGTTAATAATGGAGGCTGCGACCAGCTGTGCCTTCCAGCTAATGGAGGAACCAAAGTCTGTGCGTGCAGCATGGGTTACAAGATGAGTGGAGGATCCAAGTGTGAACCATTCAACACATTCGCTGTGGTGACGCAATTGGATGTTGCCAGGGGATACAGCATGACTGATTCGAAAGAAGCTATGGTACCCATTGCAGGCCCTGGTCATCACATTCTCCACATCGATGTCCATTACGCCGCTAATTGGATCTACTGGGTGGAATTCAACAGGGGTGTCTGGAATGGAATTTTCAGGATTCGTCCCAATGGCACCGAGCTCGCACCCGTCGTTAAATATGGAATTGGATCGAATGGCATTCGAGGACTGACTGTCGATTGGATCGCTGGGAATTTATACTTTTCCAATGTCTTTCCACATGATAATTACGTAGAGGTATCGAGGCTCGATGGTAGCAACCGAAAGGTCATCGTAAAAACCACTGCCGATGCTCCGAGAGAACTCGCTGTCAACCCCATCAAGAGAGTGCTTTATTGGATCGACTACGGCCAGTACCCAAAAATAGGAAAATGTCATCTAGATGGCAGCGATTGGAAGCCGATAATAACCTCAGGTGTAAGCACCCCTCGAGATATCACAATTGATCCTGTGACACACGATGTCTACTGGGTGGATTCAAAATTGGATATGATCCAGAGAGTCTCGTGGATGGGTGGAAATCAACAAGTCATTCGCAGAAATCTGCCGAACCCGATGGGTGTTGCTATCTTCGGTCCCGATGTTTACTGGGTGGATCGCAATCTCCAGACAGTTTTCAAAGCCAGTAAACAACCCGGAGACATCACTCTCCCAACTCAGGTGCGCACAAATCTACCAAAACTCAGAGATATCTCCATTTTTGACGCCAGTACTCAACCTCAAGATAATTCCAATCCTTGTTCACGCACACCGAATGGTGGCTGCGATCAACTTTGTTTCGCTTATCCAAGTGAGAGTGATCCTAAGTGCGATTGTGCCACGGGAAAACTTGGAGAAGACCGGAAGAAATGCGAGAATGTCGACGAGTACTTGGTGTTCGCTACTAGGACAGAGATCCGAGCAATAAATCTTGACCCAAAATCCACAAACATTCCATTCAAGCCAATAGGGAACTTGACAAACGTTGTTGGTATTGATTTTGATTATCAGGACAAGAAAATCCTCTTTACGCAGATCAGGCCTTGGGCACAGATAGCGTGGATATCTTCAGAGAATCCATCATCAACGGATATTCACAGTATAATCAGCAAAGGCATAAACCCGGAGGGGATATCCTACGATTGGACCCAGAAGAAGGTCTATTGGACAGATTCCTCCAACAACAGTATTTACGCAATGAACATCGACGGTACCGATTTAGTTATGATCGCGCGAGTGGATCGCCCGAGGGCGATAGTCGTCGATCCCTGCAGTGGTTCGTTATATTATACCGACTGGGGACGCTTTGGCACATCCGGCAAAATATTCCGCACGACAATGGCTGGTTCACTTAAAAATGCTATCATCGACAAGGATTTGTCCCAACCGAGTGGTCTAGCTATCGATTACGACGACAAAATGCTGTATTGGACTGACGCTGTCAGAGAAAAAATCGAACGCTCTGATTTGGATGGGAAAAATCGAGAGGTACTCGTCAGCGCTACAATCTATCCCTTCGCAATAACCGTCTTCAGGGAACATATTTATTGGACTGATCTTCAGCTCCGAGGTGTTTATCGAGCGGAGAAATATACGGGATCCGACAAAGTGGAAATGGTAAAACGCCTGGAGGACTCACCGCGGGATCTTCATATATTTTCTGTTGCTAAACAACAGTGCAGTGTCAATCCCTGTCTCATTAATAACGGTGGCTGCTCGCAGTCCTGTCACCCAGGACCCGATGGACGTGCAGAGTGCAAGTGCGATGACAACAGTAGACTCGTCAACGAGGAGAGAATGTGTGTGCCAAAAAATATCGTCTGCGATGCCAACAAATTTTCGTGCAGAAACGGTAAATGTATTTCACGAATGTGGGCTTGCGATGGAGATGACGATTGTGGAGATGGTACTGACGAGGACAAACAGTACTGCTCTCACCACTCGTGCAGTCCGAACGAGTTCAGATGCAATAATGGAAGATGTATATTCAAAACGTGGAAGTGCGATCACGAGAATGATTGTCGAGATGGGAGTGATGAGGAGGGTTGTATTTATCCACCTTGCGCAGCTGGTGAATTCACATGCGCTAACTACCGCTGCATTCCCCAAGCCCAGGTGTGCAATGGTGTCAACGATTGCAAGGATAACGTTACATCTGACGAGACACACGAGAGATGCCCAAGAAATAATACGTGCGCTCCCACTCATTTGCAATGTAAGACGACGAATATATGCGTCGAGCCTTACTGGCTATGCGATGGTGATAATGACTGCGGTGATAACAGCGACGAGGATCCAATCCACTGCGCCCAGAGGACCTGCCCTCAGAACAGTTTCAGATGTCCCAATCACAGGTGCATACCCGCAACGTGGTACTGCGATGGAGATGACGATTGTCTGGACGGCAGTGACGAACCACCTGGTTACTGTCAATCAGAAGGACGCACTTGCTTCGGAGATCTATTTACCTGCGACAATGGCAATTGCATTCCGAGGATTTACATCTGTGATGGGGACAACGACTGCCTCGATAACTCGGATGAGGACGAGAGGCATCAGTGCAACGACAGAAAGTGCGATGAAGAGACGGAATTCACGTGTGAAGCTAACAAAGTCTGGAACAAGGCGCAGTGCATACCCAAGAAGTGGCTCTGCGACGGTGACCCAGACTGTGTGGATGGAGCCGATGAGAACGTTACACTTCATCACTGCCCTCCAACTCCACCTTGTCCGGAAAATCAGTTCTCATGCAACAATGGGCGATGCCTAAACAAGAATTGGCTCTGCGATCACGACAACGATTGCGGGGACGGCAGCGACGAGGGGAAATTCTGCAACTCCCAGTATAAAACATGCTCCCCACAGGAGTTCACGTGTCGTAACTTCAAGTGCATCAAGTCCCAATTCAAGTGTGATGGACAGAACGATTGTGGAGATAACTCTGACGAAATCAATTGCGCACCGAGTAAAAACACAACGTGCCCCAATCCATTGGATTTCAGGTGCCGAAGTGGTATGTGCATAAGTCAACAGCTGGTTTGCAATAAAGAGCCTGATTGTCCTGATGAAGACGACGAACCACTTCACTGTAACATCAATGAGTGCACGAGAGTGGAGTTGAATCAGTGTGGCCACTTGTGTATAGACACACCAACGAGTTATTATTGCGAGTGCAGTCCAGGATACAAACTCCTCGACGATGGTAAAGCCTGCGCTGACATCGATGAGTGCATTGAGACACCATCGGTGTGCAGTCAGCAATGTGAGAATACACCTGGTGGATTCTACTGCAAGTGCAACGATAAATGGTATGAGAGAGCTGCCGACGAGCACACATGCAAGCGTCGGGACAAGATCGAGCCCTGGATCATCTTCACAAACAAGTACTACGTCAGGAACATATCCATTGACGCATCTAAATATGCAGTTATGCATCAGGATTTGATTAATGTTGTGGCCCTCGATGCAGACTATGCAACGCAAATGTTATACTTCTGTGATGTAACTGCCAAAACAATTTATCGAGCGCCCATTGGAGGAGGAGAGAGACAAGCAATTATTCGACACGACAGTCTAGGATTGGAGGGAATATCCATCGATTGGGTGGGGAGAAAACTCTACTGGTTGGACAGACACGCTAAACATCTCGACGTCTCTGAGCTCGATGGCTCCAACAGAAAAACACTCAAGAGTGGAATTGCTGATCCGCGGGCTATTGTTGTTCATCCAGGAACTGGCTATCTCTACTTCACATCCTGGCATTTACAAGCGTATATTGGAAAAATGGGAATGGACGGGAGTAATTTCACGAGGATCCTGACGTGGGCTGATGACATCGCATGGCCAAATGCCCTAACCATCGATTACTTCACTGATCGAATTTTCTGGGCTGATGCTCATCTCGATTATATTGCATTTGCCGATCTCGATGGTCACAATAGGAGAATCGTTCTCTCCGGAGCTGCAGTTCCGCATGTCTTTGCTATTACGGTATTCGATGACCACATCTTCTGGACAGATTGGAATCTCAAGGCCATCAGCCGAGCAGACAAGTTCTCTGGGGACAATCTCCGAGTGCTTCGGAATACGACACATCGACCTTATGATATCCACGCGTACCATCCCCTGAGACAGTTGCCCTACGTTAATCCGTGCGCCGATAATAACGGCGGTTGCTCTCATCTATGTCTCATTTCCCCACCTCGATCATCTTATCTCCTGGAAAATTATGGACAACCCGGTGTCACTACGCATCAGTGCGCCTGTCCCAATCAATTCTTCCTCGATAAGGACAATAAGACTTGTATCTCTAATTGCACAGCGGGTCAGCATCGGTGTGGATCACCCGAGGAGAAATGCATTCCGTGGTTCTACAAGTGTGACGGCGAGAGGGACTGCGCCGATGGCTCGGATGAACCAGCATCTTGTCCCAAACGCGTGTGCAGAACCAGTGTATTCCAGTGTGCCAATGGAAATTGCACACCCAGTCTGACGGTTTGCGATGGAACTGATGACTGTGGTGACAAGAGTGATGAGGCTAATTGCTCCCACGAATGCGGAGAGCTAGAGTTCAAATGTAAATCCAGTGGAAGGTGTATACACGCCTCGTGGAAGTGTGACGGAGACGCCGATTGCAAGGACGCTAGCGACGAGGACCCGGCAATTTGTCACAATAGAACATGCGATCCGAATACTGAGTTCAGTTGTAGAAATGGTAAGTGCATTCCCAAATTATGGATGTGTGATTTCGATGATGACTGCGGGGATGACAGCGACGAGCCTGCGTTCATCTGCCGTCAGAAGAATTGTACGAAGGGGTGGCAGCGTTGTCCGGGCCATGCCAACTACAGGTGCATACCCAAGTGGTTGTTCTGCGATGGGAAGGACGACTGTCGGGATAAATCAGACGAACTGCCAGAGAGCTGTCCTGTTTGCGATCCAGATGCAGAATTCAAGTGTTCGAATCATCGATGCGTTCCCAAACAGTGGCTATGCGATTTTGCTGATGACTGTGGAGATGGAAGTGATGAAGCCGAGGCTGTGTGCAAGGGCAAATACAGATCGTGCTCGGAGTCGGAATTCAGGTGTTCCAATGGCAAATGCATCGCGTCGAGATGGAGGTGCGATAGCGAGGACGATTGTGGGGATAACAGCGATGAGATCGAATGTAAGACCTTCGTGTGTCAGAATGATACGTATCAATGTGCCAGCGGTCATTGTATCGCCTCCCATTTGTGGTGCGATGGTACGAGAGATTGTCGTGATGCCAGTGATGAGATTGGCTGTCCGCCGAGATATCCCGATGGCCGTTACTGTCCACAATCCAGATTCCAGTGTGACAATAATCTTTGTGTTTCACTGTCCGATCGTTGTGATGGAAGCGATGACTGCGGTGATGCGTCCGATGAGAGCCCCACACTCTGCGCCACCTTTACATGCGACATCGTCCGAAGATTCCCATGCAACAATCACCGGTGCATACCTCGGTACCAGCTGTGCGATGGCATTGACAATTGTGGCGACGGCTCCGACGAGAATAATTTAACAATGTGCACGAAACGTGTACGCCCATGCGATCCTATAGTCGAATATCAGTGTGCGAATAAAAAATGCATCGAGAGAACTAAAATCTGTGATAACTCCGACGACTGCGGTGACGAATCCGATGAGCGAGGCTGTCATCCGAATAAACCCTGCAATCCAGTAAATAAGGGTGGCTGTGCGCACTACTGCCAGAATGTAACCGACGGTGGTTACATATGCGCCTGTTACCCAGGCTACATAACATCCACAGATAATAATAAACAGTGCGAAGATATTAACGAATGTACAACAGGCAGTCATCACTGCTCACAGCAATGTACGAATGTCAAAGGTGGATTCTCGTGCTCTTGCACTGACGGTTTTACAATAGTCGATAATCACAGTGGTGTTTGTCGAGCTGATAATCAAGAAACACAATTGCTCTTCGCCAGTGGTCCTGACATACGCGCGTACAGCCTCCACAGGAAGGAAGAGATACCTGCAATTGCCAATGAGAAACGCATTCGATCCATCGATATCGATCCCAAAATGGAATATGTATTCTGGATAAATTCTCACGATAACACGATTAAACGGTCGTACATGATAAATGCCAAAGAGGGACAGGCTAAAATAGGATACGCCCAGGATTTGAATATCCAGAGTGACGCTGAGCCAGTTAGTATCGCGGTTGATTGGATATCGGATAATCTCTATTGGGGTGAGGTTGATACTAATGCACCACTGCAGTTTGGTAGAATAATGGTTGCTAAATCAGATGGGCGATATCGCAGGAGTCTTATCACAATGGGACTTGAAAATCCGGTGGCAATAGCTGTGGATCCGGAATTGGGGAGACTTGTGTGGGCGGATGCTGGGGCTCAACCGAAGATTGAAATCGCTTGGATGGATGGTAGTAGACGGGCACCTCTGGTTTCTAGACACTTGGGTAGACCCTCGGCTTTGACCATTGATTATTCCATGTACCATACTATTTATTGGGCGGATAGTAAACTCAATGTTATTGAGTCAATTGAACCGGATGGATCGAATAGAAAAGTCATCATCAAGGGAGAGTCCCTCAAACATCCGATATCCCTCGATGTCTTTGAGAATAATCTCTTTTGGGCTACTAAATACACTGGAGAGGTCCTCAAACAGGATAAATTTGGACGGGGAGTCGTGGAAATTATCGCTAAGAATTCGGTGACTGGGGGTGGAGTTAAGATTTATCATTCTTTGAGGTATAACACCACTCTACGGCCTCCATGCAAGAGTGATAGCTGTTCGCATCTTTGCGTTGGCATTCCCTCAGGATACAGGTGTCTCTGTCCAGACTCGGCTGGTGCACATCTACCACAGATCAGTGAGAGAATTTGTGATGCCACTGTTGAGAGACCTAAGCCATCGCCGAGGATATGCCCGTGTCGAAATGGAGGAGTTTGCATTACTGATGATAATAATGAACTGCAATGTCTCTGTGGTATTGACTTCCACGGGGAGCATTGCGAGGTCAATCTCAGGGCCTCGAGGGCCAGCGGTTCTACTGCTGCCATCGTTATTCCTATTGTCGTGTGTTTGCTCATTTTATTTGCTGCTGCTGGTATTTTTATTGTTCTGAAAAAACGACCTTTGTGAGTATTCCTCGAGATAAGGGCTTGGTTGTCGTTTTCAGAGCTACTTATTTTTCAATCCGTTATTTCTTTGTAGTGGAAAACCTGGGGGACTTGGTGGCTTGACTGCTCAAAGTGTTTCCTTCAGACAGGGCAGCAATGTGGAATTTGGAGGGCCGGCTCACGAAAGAATGGTGAGTTACCGATGGAAAATATTATTATGCCGATTTTTATGAAGATGATAAAATATCGGATACAATAAATCGGATAATAAATAAAATGTCGGAACAATGGGCGCATTTAATTATTCCAGGAACCTCTCGATGTTGAGTACAATCTTGGTGACGTAAGCACGAAGAATCGTGATTTCAGCAATCCAATGTACGACGCAGTTAATCAAGAATCCACAAACGGAACGACAAGTTCAATATATGAAGTACCAGCTGAGATGAAACCGTCAACAATTCAACACAAAGAGCCACCCCAGTTGCACCTCAAACGGCGTGAATTAGATCCCACGCCTATTGACTCAGGCAAGGATACCCAGCAGTTGGTGGAGGAAGACAAATCCGAATGCTAGGTGTCCGTAAATAAAAAAAAATAAAAATATCATTCAGTAAATGATGATTGTTCACACCTATTGTAGCTTGGATACGTGAGTCTTCCCGATAAATATAAAAATTGGCAGCTTCTCTAATGTTATTCATCATCGAATGATTGTTGGGTTTATATACATATATATGGATGTTAATTAAAAATCTGTTTTTTTTTTCGTCTCAAGCTACGATAGGCACGATATGATTGTGTCATTATTTTATTTTTTATTAGGTGTGATTTTGTAAGTCTTTGTAAATATTATGACTATGAAAAATATTAATTTTTATGTTATCCGTGTACCATAAAAACGCAACCACCACATTCCACTATTTTTTTTTTCTCTTTCTTTCTATTCGAAGGCTGCTGAACCCAAGGATTATAGTGATAGCGCGAAGAAAAATATATATATATTTTTGTCTTGTTGGAAGTGGAGTTGATATAAATATTATGTATACAATTATAACTATGTATTGAGTGGAAAAGCAAATGTAAAATGGAATAAGTAGGACCAAGAAATTAATATAGTTCGATGAGAGATTTTTTCTTTGATTTGAGAGGAGCTTAGGGAATTAGGACTGAAAGAGATGATGCTATGATGATTAATAGCGGCCAAAATCACGTGCGCATGATGTATTTTTTTTTTTTTAATTTTTCTTAGTTGGTTTTTATGGTGACTGGACTGGCTTAATTTTTCAAATTTTGAATTATTACGTTTGTTTTTCTATATTTCTATTCCCCTCTCCCTCTCTAAGACGTCCTATTAAACATTATTGATTATTGTAGATGTTAAAGATGAAGTTGAAAAAACAAAAAGTATATGAATAAATGTTTTCTTATAGAGTGTCAACATTCAGAATCATTTGGTCGGCCTCAGCGACATTGATTGTACATTCTAGTTCTCATTTTATCTACATTTTTGTACTGCAACATTGTGGCGTTAGACAATCCAAATTTATCATTTTTAATTCCCTCTATATTCGATAATAATTGCCAAGACGCTAATGAGACCACTGTGCACAAATAATTATACACAAACAAAATAAATTTCATAAATAAACATATATTTTTCTATGACAGAGGGTGAAAGAAAAATCGGTTGACACTGGGCCGGATCCTAACAGTCAAATTATTCCTCCTATCTTCCATCAGTATTTACTGTTATTAGAAGAATCAAATTAACGAATTAGCCAAGAATGAGAAACTAATTGTTAATATATTGTGCAAATATCAAACTGAAACCGTCCAACAATAAAATTTGAAGAAAATATAATGGGTCAGTATTTTTATTGATTTCAATTCACAGGAATGCAGAAAAATATTAAAACACTTGAAAAGTTTATGGAATATTTTACATATTTTATTTACAAAAAAACGATTATCAAGTTTTAACAATTTTTTCAGCTATACTGCATGAGATTGAATAACGCATCGACATTTTCCTTTTCCGACTCCCGAGGAATATTTCCCGAGTGATCATCCATGAGGATCTGCTCCACAAAAGTTGTCTCAGCAACAGGAATAATCTCATCAACACCCAGTGCATCCTCCACATTATCTTCTCGCCCAGTCTGATTATTTCTCCGTTTCCTCTGCCTGGGTTTATCCCGGTGAATTTTCATGTGACGATTTAAATCGTATCTCCCAACGAATTTAGAGTCGCAGAAATCACAACCAAATGGTTTGTCACCGGCGTGAACCCACATGTGTCGCCTCAGGGCTGCAGAAAAGGTGAAGGCAACACCACACACATTGCAGACGTACGGTTTTTCTCCAGTGTGAAGAAGCCCATGATCCCGGAGGGTTGCCCGCTGATTGAACCTCTTGCCACATACCTCGCAGGTGTAACTCCTGGGATTCGAGTGGATCCGCATGTGGTTCAATAAATTCCCCTGTTGGGAGAAAGATCGGTTGCAAACTTGACAGGTAAAAGGCTTTTCCCCAGTGTGCACCCTGATGTGCGTTTGCAATGTTCGATTATTCAAGAATCGTTTACCACACATGTGGCAGGGATACTTGGGCAGTCGCACCCCCTGAGGATCCAGGTGAGATATCAGATGTCTTTTATAATTCCCTTTGTGATTGAAGATCCTTGGACACTGACTGCAGGCGTATGGAGCTCCGCGGAGATGTGTCGCTGCATGGATCTCCAATTCTGATTTCACTTTAAATCTCAATCCACACTTTGGGCATCTGTACTTATGAAAATCTGTGTGACACACCAGGTGACGTTTTAAGTATCGCTTCGCGGAGTACCCCTTGTCGCACAGGAAACAGGTATAAGGATTGGAGCCTGCGTGTGTCTTGATGTGAGCCTTGAGATCCTTGTGGGAGTCACAGTCCTTCTCGCAGACGACGCAGTAGAAGGGGCCAGTGCTGGGAATGTGATTGTCCACTGTGTGACACAGGATATTCGACAGATGAGCGTAATTCTCCATACAGAGGCTGCACTGATAGATCGTCTCTCCTGAGTCAGTCTTCAGCTCTTTTATTCGAACAATCGTGTCGTTCAGGCTTCCCAGGAGGTTCGAGGAGTGGTCCAGCGAGTCCTCGGAGTCGGAGTCGGTTTTCTCGGACTTAATTACAGTCGAGGAAGTAGATTGAGGGAAGTACTGGAAGGAAATTGTATCCGGCATCAGAGGAGGTGCTGTTTCGGTACTCTCATCTGGGGGATCTGGTTCCTCTCCTCCGAGATTTAACTCGACGTCGTGAGGCGGAATGTACAGGAGGGTATAACCGACGTCCTCGGATTCTAGGATTTCCTGGATTTCGCAGGGGATTTCTCCTTTGTGAATGAGATCTTTATCGCCGATAGGGAAGTTGGATCGATTCTCGATAAAGAGCTCATCGAAGGCTTCTGCATCTAGGTCGTTTGGATCGGATGAAAATTCTATTCCTTCATTGTGATCATTTGGAGATGTTTCGAGGGGACAGGGGTAGCTTGAGTCGGATAGAATTTTATTCATTGTTGTCGGTGAACAACTGTCCATCGAGGTGAGGATGTCCTCAGCTTCTCCGGGCCTTCCCGGATCCTCCCAATTGGAAGGATCGAGGCTGAGTGCGTGGGTCTCAGCCTCGAATGCAAACATTTTTCGGAGCTTTGCCTGGGACTCCTGGACTTGGAGTTTGAAATCGTAAAATGCATCCGTTCGGTACGCACATTTCGGACATAGAACTGTTGGCAGACCGTCATTTTTTTCAATCTGTAAATTAAGTTGGGAGTGCTATCATGACATCATAATAAAAAATGTAGTAGCAGAATTCAATGAATCTACCTATAGCATTTTTATATAAAAAAAATCTGAATGTATTTAATAACAATGACACTGACAGATGTCAAGGACGGATATCTACTTCTCTCAAGACCGAGAAATTCTCAAAGTTATAATTTTAACGTCAAATGTTAATAATTTACGATTGAATTGATGTCAGCAAGTATTAACCTGAATATTCGTGAGCCCAGCCAATTTCTCGGGCAGATTCTTCTGTTCGTCTCCGTACATAGATAAAAAAATTCCATCGGCCTTCATACATGCCCGACAAATAAGTAGACTTTCCACTTCCATGTTCACTATTAATTAATACACGTTCCCGGTTCTCCAAAAGTCAGAGGAATTATGAGTTCTATTAATTCACCATCCATTAGAAACTCATAACCAGCGGCTATTTAATCACTGAAATAATCACACGAGACACTGACATTTGTGCAAACTTGGCCGATCCTCTGGAACACTAACCTCTCCATTTCAAGTAAAATGAATAAAGTCGACAACAACGCCCAGACATTTCTTCTTTTTCTATTTCTGGTGATTCCCCATTTTTGCGCTTGTCGATACGCTCCATAGAGGGCACTTTCTGTTGTTTGAAATAACAGCAAATGTTTACAAAAATGGTTTATATATTGGTGTAGCGCCCTCCCTCTTTTGGGGTGCAGTACTACGATGCCGCTAAGGTCACTCCAACCCCCAGAACTGAGCCTCCACTTTACTCCCCTTTGCCTATATTGTTTATATATTACCTCATAGGGGCTGTCAATGAATTAACAACTGCTAGCTTGACCAACAGTTGTCCATTAGATTGACAAAATTAAATTCAGCAGGAGTGATTTTTATTACGATTTTGTTTACCGAATCAAATTGAAATTGAACCTTGATAAATCATCCCTTAGTCGCTGTGTAATAATCCCTGTGTTATCGACCTGTCATAAGGGACTGACAGAAAATAAGGGTCGAGTGGCGCTGAAAACGATGGCTCAAAAGCAATCGAAAATTCGAGCTTGAAATGGGCATTGCAATAATGTAGGAATGAAGTACATGCCATTTGCGCAAGCCCATAGGAATTCATAAAACGAGCTTGCACTTGTAGCGAAACTTCAGTTTGACCGCGGTGGTCGGGTGCCGTGGTTATGGTTTCCATATGTTATATTATTTCCATTCCATTTGCAAATCGTTCGGCATCTCAATATTTTCCACCATTGGAAAATAATAAATAAATCAGTGAACGCGATGTATTGCGAGTGAAATAACTGGAAGATTGAATTAGGATTTTTTCAGGGAGGGAACGTTGTTCCTAGGATTCTCATATTTTCCACTCAAATGTACGTTTTTAATGTTTAAACAAATAGCGTTTATTTTTGGTCGATGCAAAAATTTTTGGAGGGATGACATTTTATTTTTTTATTAACTGACTCGTCAGTCATAGCCAATGGGTTTGAGAAAATCCAGATGAGCTTTCCAGGCAGAATTAATTCATCATACTCGTGATGAGTTCTCTATATTTATTCTGTGATCATTCTTCCAATCTCCTGTGTCAATATTACTTTCGTATTCATCCTGGTGAATTGAATAATTCTTTTAATTTCCACAGGGAGATGTACTCAATCAATCTCGATTCAAATTATTGGAGTGCTTATGATATGAATCAATGACGTTTAATTATAACCGCTCAAATCGTTGAATTAATTATGGTGCCTAAGAGGGTGGGGCAATATGTGCATGGGTTTGATATAATCCGTTCAATGGTCCCAAAATCTATTGTTCATATTCATTTCTACAGAAAAATCACTTGCGTGTCAAGACATTTTTCTCATAAAATTCCGTCGTAAAAGTTATAAGATCAAGCGGAAACGGGTAATATTAATACTTCAATTTCTCCCTCCCAGGTTTCCACTTCAAAATCATAAATGAAGAGTCCTCTTTACTCCACTTACGTAAGGATTCATCAAGTGTGCAATTTACTCCGAAACCGTTTTCGAAAATCCAAATTCAAATACCATTTCATCCCCCAAAAATTATCCGAGTTTAATTTAATTATTTTACAGCGGGTGTCCATTTTGCCTTGAAATATTTATTAAAAACTATAGGAAAACGCGACCGCCGGGTGTTTTCACTAGAGTGTATTCTTTTTTTGCAGTCTCATGAATTAAATAATTAATTTTACTTCAACGAACGTTTCAATCATTCATTGAAAGATTCTGCACCCCCCCC